TTGGATTTCCACTAGGAGTAACCTACATGACCCGGCAGACCTCTCCTGTCTGGCCCACTGCTTCCCTTAGCAGTGCCCTTTGTCGATCTGCTTGTTCTGCTCCCCACTCTGTTTCTGGTAAATCCTCGCACCCCCTGCACTTCTGGCCTATACCTCATTTCCGTATGCATAAATAAATAAATTAATTTTAAAAGTTCCTTACATTTATGTGTATTTCCACATAAAAACTAAGATGAAGTTAAATTGTAGAACAGTGCACTGAGCCCGGCAAAGTAGAAAGCAGCGTTCTCCCACATAGCCTATAGCTCATAGCTCTGTGTAGCACAGACTTCTCTGTTACAAAAGGAGTTTGTTTCTTCTGTTGGATTTTTAGCTCCTGGAGAGTAGAGCAATATTCATCATCTATTATTTATTCTTTGGCATTCATGTATTGACATATATAAAGCAGCTAACCTCATCAATACTTTCCTTCTCTGAGTCCTACTGGAGCTATAGGGTAAAACTGAGACCCTGTGAATAAGTGGGTTTCCTTATAAATGATGCTTGTCTGGTGTCATTCTAACAAAAGGCCATTACTCAGGGAGATACTGTGAAAATGGAGGGCAGAGCTGGCCAGACTGGATGAAACCATTGAGGAGCATAGGGTCATTCTCTTGGACTTTGGACTTGAGGAGGTTATATCCTGGAGGAATACAGCTTACAGACTCAGTCTCCCAACACTACACTCCTAGGACATCAGGTGCCAGTGGCAAGACTGTGCTTCTGATCTACCAGTTATAAATCAGAGATTTCCATAACCTACTCCTCAGGTTTGATTAATTTTCTGGAGTACCTCATAGAAATCAGGAAACCAATATTAGATCATCAAGTTTTTTGGGTGCCACCCTGTGCAGATAAGGGGCCCAAACTGGGTGGCAAATACCACCCAAGCTGGAAGGGAGAATACCTGGGCAGTGCTAAGTGCTGAACTCTGCTCCTGAAGTCCTACACCAGGAGACTGCTAAGAAGAGGGTAGAGCTGAGTGGCAGTGGCCATATGTGAGCCTTTACAAGGAAAATGCATATGGGCTCACTCTTTTTAATAGGAGCTGCTTTTAATAGGCCCTCTCGGTGGCAGGCCTTTGCCCCCTACCCACCAATCCAGAAAGAGGCAGACCTGTGCTGTTTCCTGCCAGCTCCGCCAGTGGGTAACTAGACCTTTTCCCTCTTTCCTCCCTAGAAGTCTGGGTTGGCATTACTGGTAGGATTCCTTCTTTGGACAACCAGCCAGATCCTTCGTGATGCCCTAGAAGTTATCTCATGAGGTACAGGGTAAGAGGGAGCAGAAAAGGCAGATTGACTGAAATACTCTGCTGAGGGGAGCAATGGGCGAGACAGGAGAGGTTTGCTTGTGCCATGTAGGTCAGCTCCGTGGCCAGGATCAAACCTGTCCTGCAGTGGCGGCCTTCATAGAGCTATGCTTTAACCAGTTGCACCACCAGAGAGGGTACATTTATTTTGTATGTATATTTTTGTTTCCCCACCATCTTCATGTTTCTGAACACCAGCACTACGGAGTCCTTTGAAAACACTCCATACATACTTAAAACCAAGTAAAGGGTGTAGTTCCATCTTTAAAAACTACACAGACATTTTGGACAGCACATTCTTGCAATGAAACCTGGATAACATTTATCAGATATGGTAGGGAAAGTTCTCACTCTGCATGATAAACAGGACAAGCAGATATCATTACAGAAATGAAATAAGATGGAAAACTAACAAGCTCCTTGAATTATTTTCTTAAAGAGGCATCCTCCACTGCCAGGATCTGTTATCCAGATGCAATTCTTCACATAATTGATGAGTTTGTCTTCCATTTTGGGAAGAGAATCACCTTCTCTATACTTGCTTACATTTTGCTTTAATGTCTTCTAGATGAGTATAGACTCTTTGGGTGTTTTAAGAGTTTTTTCCTGTTTGTTTTTTGAGAGATTCTTATCCTTTTGATCTAGGTGTTGATGGCTTTGAGTCTTCCATTTTGGTCTGACTTTTGTGCATTTTTGGCCTGAGTATCTTGTAACTTTTTTACTGGTGCTTTTTTACCTTCCTCCTCCTCCTCATCATATCACACTCTGATCATCATATTCAGCAGCAGCAAGTTTCACTTCTTTTCTATGGGACTTTGCCACCATTTCCAGGTGCAGAACCTTTCCAGGTACACTTTGGAATTTCACATCCTCTCCTCCTGCTCTTCATTCTCTGACTCTGCATCTTCCTCCACAGCTACTAAGTGCTGTCCACTAATATACAAAGCCCTGAACCACACACTTCAGCCTTAAGACTACAAGTGGTATGATTTCAAAGCCCCCAAGGGGAACTGTTGGCTGTGCAGATATTTTCAAAGTTGGGAGTGCTACTTTCACAGGACAACCTTCATCATCTGTTGCTTCTGCTCCAACAATGTGCAGCTCTTTCTCTTCACAGTCCCTAAACTGACTGTTATTAAATAACTGGTGCTCACTTTCATCATTACTCACCTTAAAGTGATAATCTTTGTCAGCCTTCAGTTCACAACTGAAATGATAATTCTGGGTCCTCAAGGAATCCATGTCCACGGCATCTTCCATAGGATGGTAACATGCATTTAGGTGGAAGAGAGGGCCAATGGAGAGAATAGCTACTGTCCCAATGAACAGGTGTGCAGGATGGAATAACATGAGAAAAGTTAGATTTGTTTATTTTTACGGAGACTACAGAATTCACATTTAATCAATCATTTAAAAAATAATAAAAATTACATTGTCTAAAATAAACAGCCCCATCAAAAAATGGGCAGAAGAGCTAAAAAGACACTTCTCCAAAGAGGAAATGCAGATGGCCAACAAGCATATGAAAAAATGT